AATTTTGTATTGTTCGATACATATGCGTACCGAACCGAAAGCACTGTATCGAACGGTTCAATATCGATACGAATATCGTTGCACCCCTAATATATATAGTGATGACCAACTGAATATTTCTATTTGCACACCAATTTAAAGAGTGACAACTAAATACATATGTGCACACACATTTCTGGCTTGATGTAAGACTATGGTTCAAAAACCAATGTCATGAACTAAGTCTTATTTTATAGAAAGAATCCCAGTCAAGAAAACTGTCCAGTGAGTATTTTAGCTGTTACTAATTTAGACACATTCTTCTGCTTCTATTTTTAAACTCTATTGATGCAGTATAATATTTTAATTTCAGGTTCCTAACTGGGCATGGCTTTAAAACACAACTTCAAGATCAATATGAGGAAGTTTGGTGACAGTGAGAAGAGAAAAGTGTTTTATTTAAGTAGTTCTTGGCAAGCTTCCTGGGAATCTTACATTTCTTTGTTTAACTGTAGATCAATTTTACACTAGGCTCTATTTGGTCCTTGAAGATAATATTCTGCTAATACTGCAATCTGGAAACTGGCTTTTATGTACTGTGCTCTACAGAAGTGGAACAATCTGCAGAAGCTTGAAAAATTAGATAAGCTAATTCCTTTTAATCAATTCAAATCCGTTTTGACTGACAGAGACAAGAGTGGGTTGAGCATTGTTTTCTTTGAGTTGATGTTGATGTCCTTGACCTGTTTAGTTTCAATGTACTTGATAACTGTCTCTTGTTATTTATATACTGTTGTACATGAAATGATCCCATTTATGTTAAAACAATGAATACTGATTTTTTTAAACATCTTGAATAAATTCTATTTACTTCTGTAGACAGTTTTAGCAAGAACTAGCTAGTCATTTTTTAATAGGTTATAATCCATCAGCCAATCTTGTTGGTCTTATATGGATCCAATGAATGCAAAATCGGGCCACACTTTATACACAGAGGCCAAGTTGTAGTCATTTTGTGGCTATTTTATCAGTCATTGCTACACTGAAAAAAAGACTACAGAAGAAGCATGATTCAGTGCTTCAAGTTTTCTCAGCTTGTGATTGTTTTTGCTGACTTTACTCAGAGATAAGAGTTCAACAGCTTGAAGGTTCTTGTTCACCTAATTACAATATTACTGTAAAATTGCTTCAGTGGAATGTGTTTCTATATTTTAAAAAAACACAGAAATTCTTGTTGAGAAATGAAATAAATTTTAGTGCCAGCGACATAAAACTTTGCCTATACAACATTCAGCTGCTCTTTTATTTCCTGCCGGAGATTGATCCACATATTTCATTTGACTGAGATTTTTACACCAGAAGAAACCTACCATTTCTCAGGCCTGCGACCAGCATTAATTGCACACTAGATTGTAACACTGCTGAATGAGGTTAGGGTTATGATCCCTCCCAGTCGCAAACCAGGGACCGCTCAGTTGTTAGATTAATGCACTAACCCCTAGACTCTTGATTCCTTAGATAAAATCACAGCAACTTAAATATACTTGAAAGTGTAGTATATAAAGAAAGTTTAGAACATGACAACTACCGTTAGCTCAGAACAAATGGAAGCTCAGTGACAGCTGCAGGTAATGTTTGAAGCACTAAAGGATTACAGTGATGACACATCTTCATCTGGCCCTGTGATCAATATTAAGAAGCACACTTTTCACAGAGTGCAGGTATTCTCTTTGTTTTCACATTTGGTGAGGCCAAGATGAGTTGGTCACTTGCATACTTGCGAGAGACTCCATCTCTGAGCGTGGACAAGTAAAAGACACCCCCCGCCCCCCGTTTTCCAGAGGACTTGTGATTAGATGTTTTTGTGGGTGGG